GTTTAGCCCCACCCACCGATTCTACATCACTGCCTGTTTAGCTCCACCCGCCGATTCTACAGCACTGCCTGTTTAGCCCCGCCCGCCGATTCTACAGCACTGCCTGTTTAGCCCCACCCACCGATTCTAAATCACTGCCTGTTTAGCCCCGCCCGCCGATTCTACATCACTGCCTGTTTAGCCCCGCCCACCGATTCACGCACGTAGCGTAAATAACTAGAGAAGCAAATGCAGGTCGACACCAAAACCAAGCAATAAAGACGCTCCGAAGATAGTCTCGCGTAGCCAGACCATTAGACTGACGGCAGAAGGTCTGGGAACCTTGGCAGCTCTGAATGGCCAAGGCCTACCCAAGAGGACATATGACTGACAGGTAAAGCAACCAATCACGTTTCGTTTTGTGACACGTCATGTTTAGGGCTGTGGAAATGTCCCCACAATAACAGACCGGCGTGTAAAACTCTTGGACATATTTTAAAGATTCTATGCCGCAAACTTTAAATATTTCACATACTTTTAAAAATCCAGCGTTTAGTTGATCCTGATAAGCACTCATCGTCACAGTTGTATACACGACAGCTTTCTTCTCCCGTGAGGGGGTTTGGCATCACGGCATCTTTGTTTCCAGGCAGAACGTTAAAGAATGTGACACACACGTCTCCTGGAAATCCTGTATAATTCAACGAATCCCATGACAACTTCGAAACTCCTGAAGTGTTTCCAATTTTGTGTGCCGTATGCATCAGACGTTCAGCCAACAGTCCATGGGCATGACATCTGAGGCTGATAGTGTGTTCACACCTGTCTTGTTCGTTTCCCCTCTTGGTGCGGACCTTTTTGGCAGGTGTGAATACAGCAATCGCACTCGGGTGCGGACCAAACAACCGTACCGAGACCCAGCTGAAGAGGTGGTCTCGGTCCGCTTCCAAACGAACTCTGGTACGGTTCATTTAAGGTGTGAATATGACCCGACCTCAATCAGACCCAATTGCAGAAATCACGCTCAGAAACAGACAGCTCGCGCATATATTGCTGTTATTTGCGTTTCAATGGCTTAAATCACTTTTTTTTAAACCACAATGCTTAAACACACATGCAAATGATGAGTTTTCGTGACCATGGCGCACAGCAACGTGACGTGAGCGCGCTAAATAGGCTAAAGCTTGCTGCAAAAATTACCATGACTATGTTGGGGGAAAATAGTAAGGAGATATTTGAATTACTTATTAATAAACTAGTGTTTTATGAGTCAGTATCCAATGAAGTTGATGATCCTGACTTGCCATCTCACATTGGACGCACCTTTAGAAAGAAATGCATCTTTACAGATTACATAAGAGTTTTTGTTTTGGATTTGAATTATTTCGTTTTGTAGTCACTTAAAGCTTCTATAGATATATTCATAATGTCTGTAAGGAAAATATTCGCTAAGTTTCGGTGCATTTTTATGAAGCGCTCCTGCTCAAGACCTGCTCTTGAGCAGACCTTTTTTACAAAAGCACAACGTTTTCTTAATATTGTGAGTTCACACAAATACAAATAGACCCTGTACAGTTCCGAACGATGTATTATTCTTACGTTTAGGAGCAAAAATAACGGCGTATTTAATTTTCCACTGTCCTGAAGCACGCTTCAGCTTCCACACTCCGCACAAACGATTGGATATGCACCTAATAGCACACATTCATATAGGTTAAATGTTTAAACTAACATTGTGATATGCATACCTGGCAATAAAGCTCATTCTGATTCTGATTCTGATATATATATATTTTATTTTCGGCAAGTCGTAATTACAACATCATATGGCATTGTCTCATATGAAGCTCATAAGTTTCCTCATATCGCATTAGTATCTGATAACACCAAATCAGTAAAAAGAATAAAAATTGCACTACGAAAGATCTCCATGATTAGCCTGTTTTTGCACTTTCTGTTTTTCACTGCTTGAGAATTTCTGTCCAATAAATGGATGACCTTAGCACATGTGTGGTTTTGTTTATAATTTCTGGTTCACGTGCAAAAAAGGGCAGTGTGAAAGCAAACCGCACCAAACAAAAAAAAAATCAACATTGTATTTGGTCCGGACCAAAGCAAGTGAACTAGCGGACTTTCCTGGTGTGAATACACCCTGAGACTACTCCGAAGACAACAATACACTGTTCAGTGCCAAGCTGTGGAAAAACCGTGCTTGCATTGCCTTCCTTCTGATCCCAACGTTAGGAAAGAGTGGCTGAATTTCATTTTTAATGAACTCTGACTTCTGTTCAATTCATTTTACCGCGGATTCGTTTACAAACAAGACACAATTCGATGCAGGATTTTCAAAAAGATTGAAACTAAAAGACGATGCTGTGTGAATATATTGGATCCGACATTAATGTCGCTACACAAGTGTGAGTAACTGCTTTCATTGCGTGAACACTGTTGCTTGGTCTCTTAAACAGATTTTAATATGAGTATTAATGCATTTTTAACCTAAATCACAGCAGTGTCCATCTGTGAGAAAAGTACACTGTCAAACATACACAACTGTTAGCCAATCACAGCAGTGGGCATTTACTTCTGAGTCTACAATCCTCCACGCCTATTCAAACAGAGCGTTCTGATGAGAAAATAGACTATTACTTCTAAAGTTTGATGTTTTTTTATGTAAAAATCTTGATAACAATTTAAGTGGACCTCAGAGAAGAGTACAAAACAATAAAAGATGCAGTTCATGACACTTTTAACAAAAATAAAGTTGAGTTAAGGCAAAGTAAGAGTTACGTGACTCAGATATATTCTAAACTAAAAATAAAGTATATTCAATAATCAATTAATCAATTAAATGTAATCAACACTCAAATAAAAACTGAGCTGTATATAAACATTTATATTGCATATATGGTAGTTTTACATCAACTTGTTTTTGTCATTGTTAAAACAAATATTTAAAAGGTGGCTGTAATAACTTTATCACAGATATATTCAAACATACAATAAATACAGGTTAACGGCATCAAAATAAACATTAATTAAAATCTTGAAATTGATATTGTCGCTCCAGCACGAGTGTCCACACAGTTAACATTTGTACCTGTTGTAGTTTATCACATTACTGAAGAAGCGCTAATTAAATGTCACAGTCAATGATTCCAACCCTCCAAAACGGTTCAGTTGAAAATTAATTTGGGTTGCTGAAATTGATGCAGCACTCCCTATAAAGGGTCTCAGCTGTCAATTTAGTTGATGTGTTACATCAAGCTTTTGCATGATGTTTGGCCAGCATTCTCTCATGATCTGTGTGTCAAGTTATGTTAAGAATACAAGCTGCAGGATGAGTTTGGGAAAGAATGTTTTTAGGGATGTAACGATTCACTCAACTCACGATTCAATTCGATTCACGATTATTTAATTTTTTTTAACAAAATGAGATTTAAGACAAATTATAAATTAAATGTATCCTTTTATTATTGCTTGGACAAAATGCTGCACATTTCTTTGTGAAATTGAAATATAACACTATAATAATATACTAATATAGCACTTGCATATTATTGCTCTTTTGTTGGTTTTGATTGCTTCTATTGTCCTCATTTGTAAGTCGCTTTGGATAAAAGTGTTTGCTAAATGACAAAATTTAAATATAATGTAAATGTAAATAACAAAACTAAATTGAAATTTTAAAACAAGCCCCAAATAAAATAAATAACACAAATAAAATAAATATCTTCATATAAACAAAATAAGG